CCCCCCCCCCCCCCCCCAAAAGGTGTGAAAAGTGTCCGGTGTCCAACAAGAGTCTCTGGGTTGATGCTGATTCCAAGCAACGTCCTTCAGTGCAAATCTTAGTGTAACATCTGGACAAACAATGATTAAAAGCAATTAGAAATTGCAAATTAAAGCGACAACATTAAATCTTCACATAAAACATCTAACAAGATTTCCATAACATACTCTGAAGGAATAATCGTCCTAAAAATAAATTGTCATTATTTATTAATTCCAAAGCTTTCTTTCAACTATGGAATACAAAAGATGTTTTATTGTTCATATAATTAAAGTCAATGATAAAATTAGGTCACCAAACATCCATCTAAATATCCTGAATTCCAAATTATGTACAGTATGTAATACCTATTATGCACTCAACCATCTAGTCTAAGAATCTTATGAAGTTATTTTGTCCTCCAACATAAAAGTTTGGTAGCCCCTCACCCTTCACTACATAAGGAACGGGCTCCGACAGTTGAGTGCACTTAGGGTGCTTTCACACTAGCACTTTTGGTGCGCACCCGGGTTCGATTGACGTCAGAGTTCGGTACGTTTGAATGATGTGAACGCTGTCTTCCGAACTTAGGTGCGCACCCGTGAACCGTATTTGCATGTGAACTCCAGTACGGTTCGCTGCTGATGTGAACGCAATCGTACCAAATCGCGGAAGTGAACCGCTATTAATGACGTACTATTTGATAAAAATTTGTTTCACTCAATTTCCTGACGAGCGTGACTGACGCGCTGCAAACAGAGAGCTGTATTTCTCATTTCTGTTCGCCTTCAGCATTCTTTAGAGCATTTGCAGTACATTCGTGAGACAGACATAAGTGCCGTTATGTACCGAAGCTTTGTAAACAAAAAGAAATATATAAAAGTGCAGAGAGCAATGTTATGCATTTGCCGCCGCCTCCTGCCATCGTTACTAAGCAACGGGGTAAACAGCTGCTGGCTTGATGACGCAAATGAACCACGGTTCAGACCCAAATAAAATAATATGAATGCAGTCCAGCGGGGAGTAATCGAACTCGGGTTCGGACCAGGCAAGCGAACCAAGTGTGAAAGCACCCTTAGTATCCAACATTCCACACTTAATTTTCCAGTTAAATAAGTGCATCATTTGGGTATTTGAAGTGGGCTTTCTTTTTCCCTTTTAGAATTTTAAGTGGGAACACACTTCCACTAAAATTGGCATCCCAATTGATGCATACTGTATAGGACGCACCTACACAGGTTTGAAATGACATGAGGGTGAGTAAATTACATTTTTCATTTTTGGGTTAACTGTCCCTTTAAAAATATTCAACATACTACAACTTAATTTATTAAAACACTACTATATATCAGTAAACTGTACCAATTTGGATTTTAAAAATGGTTCAAATCTCCAGTTCTGATTTAAGTAACTGTTTTATTTTTAACGCACTGAGAGGAACTGAACTGAACAGGTGTAGTGCAGAAATTTGCACCCTGCCAGATTATGCATCCCCTAGTACTGGTAGGTTTAGGTGTGGGGGAGGGGTTAGGATTAGGGGTGGGGTTGGGATTAGGCAATCAGGTAGCGACTTCAACGAGGGGGTGCATAATCTGGCAGGGGTGCAGAATTCGGCACAACACCGGAAGTCATACCCATTTAGCCTCTTACAGGCCTTGAATAAAGTTGAAGGGTCGTACAAACAAAGTGAATAAACCTTTAGTACGTGTACTTGCTGGTACATTAAAGTCGTCAAGTGCTTGCAAGTACACTTATGAGAAAACAGATGTTTAAAGTGTGACGTTTTGAAATTTAACAGGAACAGAAGTGATTTCCACAACATGCAGGCTTGTTTGTAACCTCATTTACCTGCCGAAGCAACTATCTTGAAACATTTAGTCTAAACGATCAAAAGAAACAAAATAGTTAAATAATTTGAAGGGCAGTTTTTAAAACTATAAAAAACAACTAAATGTTCAACTTCGAACACGAGTCACGTAAAAGCACACGTATGACCGACGAAAACGTTCAATAATTTAAGCAAATATCAATCTGCATTACTAACAGGTAACTTTGGTGTCATTTTCACACAACAGCTCCTAACAACAACAGTTTGACTTCAAACCATCAAACATTCCAAGCTTGGCTGTGGATAACACCTTTAGCATATTAGCATTCCTAGTGCTAACTCATCTTCCATCTAAGTTGCTTCTAATTTATTAATAACTACCTAATTATGACTTGAACATCTCTTCGGATAGCGTTTTAACACTTAGTCTAACCGGGAAAAAAAACTCGAAATGAACTCCCGATATCCCTTTAACAGGTAACGTTAGTTCTGTCAGATTCAACAGCAGCCGTGCTAATTCAGAGCTGGCTAACAGCTAAACTAAGCTAACAGCCTAAACCTCATTGTTCCGAACGGAGACGAGCGCTAGCCTGTTCCTGAGGTCTGTGCGACATGCTCAGCATCTAGCTGACAGGAACCAGCTTGCTGGTTTGTTTCGGACATAGTCTTAGAAATGTATGGGAGTTTTTGGTGCATCTTCATGCCGCTATAAGATCGTGCAAGTACGAGTATAAAGCAAGCAAACGCTTCAATATAATACAGTTCTAGCATAAATATGGCTAATATCTGGCAAACAAACATGTTACTCCTGTGTAACTTAAATGCGTATTAAATGCACTGATATTCGAGTAAAACACTATTAATGTACATGTAACGTTAGGTGCTTGTAAAGCAGTGTTAGTGAACATTAGCAACCATGCAGGTTGTAAACAGCTGTAACGTTACTGCTGTCGTCTGGGCCTCACTCAACACATTAAACGTTACATGGTTAGCGAAACCGAGCAAGGCAACAAACTCGGTGTCTAAATCACTCCTACAGTGTCCATATAACCATATCGCTCACCCCACGAGTCTTAGTCATAATTAGAAAGTTTCCACAATTCATATTAATGATTGCATCCACCGAACTGTTACGGGCCGTTTAAGGGAAGTTCATCCTTGCAGTGCGCGCAGGGTCGGTTGGGTTTTGAACAATTTTAGGTCATTAACAGCAATGTTAGCTACACGCTAACGAGCTAACGTTGAATTAGCCGAGCAGACAACATATGATAACCAACTCATAACTTCAGCGATTTGTGAGACTGTAGCGAAAACCCTATCGAGGCGAGAAGACGCGTTACCTCGATCCTGGAAATATTACGTGCGGATGATCATTTTCGTCGTATTTCTTCGTTCTGATCTTGACGGATAAAAAGGTCGCTTTCTCCCTCGGTTCGGTTTAGATTTTTCAAAATAAAATGGCGACAGTCACGGCACGCGCGCGCACCCAGTGCGGTGCTTATTGAGCTCGCGCACGAACTCGCGGCTACGCAACATACCGTAATAAATGACGCGCGCTGACACGCCTCCATTCCCATGCGCACAAATGTGCAAAATAATGGAGGCTTCGCGCAGATGCGAACGCACACCTGTTGCTGTGCGAACGGATCGCCAATTACGATTAGACTGGATATCAGTTGGGGTTTTGCAGGAATTTATTGTTCAATTTTTTTCTCTAAATAACCCAAAAACACTTTTATGAAACACACATTTATGATCGTCACACACACAATGTTGGAGTTGCTGTTTAAAAAATTTTTGGACCATCATATATATATATATATATATGTATATATACAGGTGCATCTCAATAAATTAGAATGTCATGGACAAGTTAATTTAAGTAATTCAACTCAAATTGTGAAACTTGTGTATTAAATATATTCAGTGCACACAGACTGAAGTAGTTTAAGTCTTTGGTTCTTTTAATTGTGATGATTTTGGCTCACATTTAACAAAAACCCACCAATTCACTATCTCAACAAATTAGTAGTGACATGCCAATCAGCTAATCAACTCAAAACACCTGCAAAGGTTTCCTGAGCCTTCAAAATGGTCTCTCAGTCTGGTTCACTAGGCTACACAATCAAATATGTGGACGCATAAATTGTGACAATGCAATTGCAAATCCTGCATTGCCGAATATCGTTCCATATATGTGTGTGTGTGTGTGTATATATATATAAAATATAATTTATATATGTGGGAAACCAATTTACTAATAATAATAATAATAATTAGAACTAATTAATTACCTATTATAATCAGTTACCAGTTAAAATTAGTTTTACCACAATTAAAAAAAGTGTTATAAAAGTAAACTAAATGAATAGAAAAGTATTATCAAAGACAATGTTACATTATTTTTCAGTATCTCCTCTGCTAAACAGTAATGGTGGTCTATTTCAAGGCCCAAATAATGAAATTAATATTTAATGACATTGTGTTTTGAATAATCTTGTGCAGCTGGAAAGCAAAGTGCTCTTGAATCAGTTAACAACAACAACAACAAACAAAAACATTCACTCGTAGAATTTTTTATATGTACAGGCCACATTGTACAACTGAAAATCCCAATTTCAAGAGCCTTAGCTGTGGATTACAGTGTCACAAAATATTCAACAAAATTATACAACCATATAAAAAAAATCTTAAACATTTGAATGCATTGAAAATGTGAGAGGACACTCCATAAACAAACACGTAATTGATTGCAAGACCAGAAAATTGAAAACACAACAGAGAATGCCAAATAAATACTGTACAAGAAGTACTGCATGGTACACTCTAAAAAATGCTGGGTTAAATACAACTCAGTGCTGGGTAAAATAGGGACAAACCCAGCAATTGGGCTGTTTTGACCCAGCGGTTGGGTTAAATGTTTAACCCAACCTTCTGGGTAGTAACCCAACCACTGGGTCAAAACAACCCAATTGCTGGGTTTGTCCCTATTTTACCCAGCACTGGGTTGTATTTAACCCAGCATTTTTTAGAGTGTACAAACCCTGCCTGCAGGCCAGCAATGTTTTTGACGTTTATCAAACTCATTTAGATATTTGTGTTCAAACAGTAACAATAAAAAAAAAAACAGTGTAGTGTAACATAGCTAATGCAGGACGTTTAGTGCAGTGCGGCATTTAAAAAATTTTTTTTTTTGACAGACACAGAAGCTGCTCCTCCAATCCTTCAAACAACCACCAAAAAAAAAAACAACACACATCTCAAAGTTCTGACTGCAATACATGTGCACTTTGGCCCAAATCCTAATCAGACAAAAAGCACCATAAACTAGGATCTTACGGAGAAAAGCAACAGGTGCTGCATTAATGGCATTGTGGTTTTTGTCCTCTAAATGGATCAAAACAAAATGTTCGAGTATCTTGGTCTACAATACACCACCATAACAAAACAAAACAAAAAAACTAGGAAGATGATATACAGTATACAGTAACAATACTGTGCTGGTTGTAATGACCTGTTCAATTCTGTGCACCTATGGGTTGACTGAAGCCGTTTGAATAATTAGTATCAAAGCTGTCCATCAGAAAAACAGTCCGTAAGTGAGCCCTGAGCTGCTGTACTTGTACCTCAGCGAGTCATTCGAGTCAATGAAATCCATGATGAAAGTTCCTGGAAGCTTATGGATTGTGCGTTATTGCCTGAAGAGCTTTGTAGATTATTTTGGAGTTGCTATAAATGTTTTAAAAGAGAACAAACTTGGAATAAAAAAGAAGAAATGTTTTTTCTTGGTGATATTTACTAAGAAATCTTATATTAGGTTAGATAAAACAGCCCTTTTTGCTGCCTGGACACCAAAATTAAAAGCAAGACCTGACTTGATTACATTATTTGGCATTCATCAAAAGGAATCCAAAACCTTGAACTCAAACAATTACCTTAACAATTAGTCTTTCACACAAAACCAGAGTAAACTACCTCAAAATCACACATATATCTTACAAAATGCGGCATATCAATACACGGTGTTGGTACAACTGCAAAAAAAAAATCTCTCTTAAGACTTACTTTACAAAAATAAATACTCTTTTCGATTCTTTGTAAAAAAAAAAAAAATAAAAAAATAAAAGTTGAGTAGCCAAATACATGTCAATGTAAAAAAGGTAATAATTCTCCTTGGCCATCTTAAACGTCTCACTATACACAGCACCAATTCAAATTTGATGAGGCGGCTGAAATTGATTCTTATGGAAACAACACGTTTCTGAAACCAGATCTTTAGAATAACAGTAAAGGCCAGCCAAAAATGCACAATCCCCCCAAACATCGTGAAAGACACTGAGGTAAAAATGAAAGATTTTAACATAATGGGACCATTTGGGCAGGTATTTTGATTAAATATTAGCTTCTTATTACACAACAAGTTTGTTCTTACCCACAATGCAATACAGATATGGATGAAATTTTGAAAAACAGCTAAGCCTTTGCACAAATTGGCTGTATGGCAACAAATATCTAAACATGTTTCAAAACAGATGCATATTTAAGACCCCACAGAACAGCAAACCTCCTCAATGAAATAAATTGTTCTCTTTCATCAGTAATAAATACGTAATTTAATAACAGTATAGAAAATAAAAATCAAGCACCAAGATAAAGGAATAAATTAAGGGAAAATGTCTCTTGCCTCATTTGAATGATACCTTCAAGCACCATTTAAAGTCAGTCTTCGGATGCCCACTAGGTGGCAACAGAGGACCAAGTATAGCTAAACTACCCAGCGCTCCTCAGCGAGCTATATAAAATATGAATACAAATGTTGACAAAAATACTTTTTTTTTCTTTCTTTAATTTCTCTCAAAATATGAGAACATTTTGACTGTCAGGTAGTTCAAGCCATCATCCTGGGTGAATTTTGTCTAGAGGCGGTTATGCAAATTGTCTTCAGTGGAGGAATTTGCTAGGAAAAGTTGGTTGCAATCACAAAAAGAGAAGACCAAAAAAAGTCAAGCACCTTTATGAAATCAGTTCATCACTCTTTCTTAAAATGCACATCCTCAAAGTGATGCGTTTTAGTTGTGGGAAGCAGCCTGGCAGCATGCTAGTCTTTGCTTTTGTGGAGTAAACCTGATTTTGGATGTCATCGTTGAGAACCGAAAGCCTTAAAAAGTGATGTTTTCAGTCTTATTTCCTGTCAGTCGCCTTGTTTCTTTGGATGCATATTAGCAAAACTAGGAAACCATGTTGAGTGAAGCGGTTATTCACACGATTCCTCCGCTTTGGGTTGATTGGTAGCCAATACCATGCTTTTGAGCCAGTGTGTTCAACCAAACACATTTTATACCCTGTCACCTTTAACATGCACGCTCAGCATCCCAAATCTTCTGCAAGCGGCGGCTGCCATCACTGGAACTACACAAAGAAGGGTTTGTGTCTGCTCAATTTGAGAATCTTGCCCAATCGCTGCTTCGCTGTAGCCATACCTTTCTTCGGACGTTTACCTACAAGAAAGAGAAAGGCAAATAAAAAAATAAAAAATTAAATAAATAACATTTATAATTATTTTTTATAATTTTTAATTTGATAATTTATACAATTTATTTATAAATAAAAAGATAAATAAACAAAATCATAACAGAAACAAATGATAACAAAGTAACAAATAAAGACAAATACAAATATAAACAAAAATCTAAACAAAAATAAAATAAACAAAACCAAATATAAAACATTACTAATAAATTAAAAACAAAAATGAAAACCATAACACAACAATAAACAAAAACAAAAAAATGAAAACAAAATCAAATAAGAAAACTAAATAAAATACATATAAAATCAAAAGTAAATAAAAGCAAAAACAAACATACAAAACCAAAATGAACAAGATTGACTAATATCTTAACAGTGAAATGTGCAGGTTGTGTGTTAAAATATTTAATGTGTAGAGAAAATGGTGATGCTGTACCTTTGGTGGCCTGATTGCTGATTGGTGGGGGATTTGAAGCAGGTCTCTTGGACGGGTGCAGAGGTGGCGATAGGGATGTTTCACAGTATTGGAAGCCCAAAGTGGGGCTTTCCCCATGGGCTGGGGAGTGTGTGTGATTGCTCCACGCCTCACTGCTGCTGTTGCTGCCACTGCCCTGGCTGTCCATGAAGTTCTTGTGCTCCTGGATCCTATGCTTGAGTGTGGTGTGACGTTCTCCTTCTGAATCACGCTCCCGAAAGCCCTCCTAAAGATAAAAAAAAATTTTTTTTAACCCAAACATTGGCCATTGGAGTAAATGCAAAATCAGTATCAATTTAAGTTTAAAATCAATTAAAAAAAAATGCAATCTCTCCTGTAAAGTAAGCCAGATTAAGATTGGGTTTACCTGTGATGAATTGCTGTCTGAATCCTGGTTCTCCTCTCCTGATGCAACCTCCTTTCTACCTGAGAATGGTAAAATAACACATGCAATGGTTCATCAAAATAATATTTTATCTGAAAAAGTGCTGTTTAGCACTAAAAACTCTCATGAACTCTTACTGTAGTCAGGGGAGGGATGGTTGGTTCGGGACCACCAGGATTCCTGTGAACTGCTGGGATCTTCTGACGGGTGAGAATACAAAAGTCCTGCCATAGACAGCATTCCCTGGATAGCATCCTCTTCTGTGCTTGGCGAGGTAGCCGATTCACTGCAAACATGATTGAGCTTTAAACCAAGTGCATTTCAAACACACACACAACCCTAAATTGTTCCCCAGCATATCGGCTCTTACCTTTTAAGACGTTTTTCAAAAGGGTCAAGGTTTTGTCTGGATTGATGCGTACCCGTCGTGTAGCCGGAGCAACTTATGGTCTTACTTTGGTCGTCTCCACTCCTCCTAATCTTTTCATCTTCCTCTTCCTCTGAAGAGCTTTCAGATTCTCCCTCAGAGCAGTTCTTTTTCTGCATGGATAGGAAAAGAGGATTATTCCTAAACTAGGACTCTATGCGCTTCCTGTGCATGAGGGGAAATGGCAACATACCCGTGTAGTGTACTCCACATCTGATTCAGAGTCCGAAGAGATGTCTGAAAGTACTGATTCTCTGTTCCTGAGATCTGAGCTCTCTTGCTTATTAAAATCTGTGGAAAAAATAGCTAATAGTTTTTAATTATATTTTATGCACAAGCTGAAAGAATAAGCAATACAAACTGCTGCAATGTGGTTTAATGCTAATATCTAGTGACCAGAGTACACAAAGTTGCTTAAAATGAAAATAAAATAAATATTGCACACAATATTGACTGAAAAATATTTAATTTAATTATTTTTTTTGCATATTATCCATTGACTGTAGTGAATTTGAGACTTGATTGTACCTGCGCAGGGCTTTATGTCTCTGGCTACATGATGCTGCTTATCCTCCTCTTTGATTTGGATATCCACTTCCTGTTCTTCCTCTTTAGGTACTAGTTTAATCTTGAGTGAATCCATCTTCACATCTCTGGAGCCTTCGTCTTCCTTTATCCTTGGCCTTTTTTCTCCAACATGCTGCCTGTTATCTCTGCGTGGACAATCAGATGGGGACTTAAAAGGATGTGTTCCCAAAATTACTTGACCAAAATAAACCAAAAAACAACCGTTGCAACTGCAAGTAGAGTGCTAAAATGACTATTACCTTGCATAATCCTTCTAAATTTAACACTAACTGTCATCAAATCCTGCATGAGTCATTTGTATTTGGTAATGTGGTGATTCATGCTAAACTTCCTGCAGCTCCTGACTAATGTGTGATAATCTTCATAGGTTAATGCGGTTTACCTGATTATACGTCCATTGCACAGTACCAGACGCAGGTCGTTGTCCAAACTCCGCTCTGCCACTGCAGCTGAGGCCGTGGAGACCTTGTTGAACTTGCCGTTGACCTTCAGGTTAAAGGAGGCATCCTAAAATACAATAGTTTTTTAGATGATTCTCTATAGATTAGCCTGAATGGCGTTTACGGTATTCGATAATCCCACTTACCTCCTCATAAGGACCCATTTTAAGTCTTTTTAAGACTTCCTGGGTGTGCTGCTCAAAGATGTCGAGGTTGGAGGGAGCTTTAGGGCTGTGAGAGTGATGATGGTGATGATGGTGCTGGTCACGAAGACGTCTGGCTGTCCTGCGTGCGTGAGAACCTCTCTCATGTGCCGACCTCGTGGACGGACACGCAGAGATTCCTTGAGATTTCATTAGCTTGCTTCCACAATTCCCATTCTGATAATCCTAGGGTGTTTGAAACAGCATTGTGAGTGAAATACAACAACTACAATATTAGTTATAATGTAGCATTGAGAACTTTTTAATCTCCAAAGAACCATAACACTTAAGACTACACAACAAAAATGTATTCATAAGACCATTTTACACTATATATTTTAGGTTTCTTGGGTTTGCTATATTTGTTAATGTAAGAAATAATAACAACAACAAAAACAAAAACGACATTTCATTGTGAAATTTTCACATTTATTTTTATTTATTTACTTATTTTTGTTCAATTAGTAAACAATTTTCACTGATTATTTTAACTGATAAATTGCTGATGTTACAATTGTATGCTATTTTGTCATGTATTCGGTAATTTTAAACTACAAGTGAATTTAGGCATGAAAAATGAATATGATATTGAATAATATTACTAGTAGCTTTTAAAAAAAAAAAGTACCTTATGTGAATATTAGCTGATGGCAAAGATAATCTAAACATAAAAATATGAGAAATGAGCATGAGCAATTTTATTATTCTTATTATCATATTATAAAAGCAGCAACAGAACTAAAATAAAAGCAAAATAAAATAATAATAAGCTCTTGTTGTTTTTAATTAAATTTTTCTGTTGTTGCTGAGTTTAGAAACTTTATTTAAAAAAAGTAAATAACCTACAACATAAAAACTGTAAATGTATTCTTTTAGACTTTACTGTCCAAGTAAGCACGTTTCAGTATGTTTCAAGCGGTCTGGCTTACCTCAAGGTACTGGATTTCCTTGGTGAGCATTTTAATCAGATGGTTGGGTCTGATATGGTCAGGGACCTCGCTGGCTGGCTCTGTGACCTGCGGAAGATGAGCACACATGGCAGACAATTAGGGGTTTGTGCCACAGAGCAAACCTCAGGTTCCCATCCAGAACCACTAACACCAGATACCGACCCCTGTGGGATGCCCCTTGCCCTCATTATTCCAACAGGGATTGCAATGTACAATGGGATGTGTGCAGGTGGTTTTAGAGTCAATTGTAAGTTCGCATTTAATCTGATGCAGTTTCTGGTGTGGTAAGCCACTATTTCCTTCACCTCTCTCTTTAGCCAGTTCCTCAGTGCAGTAATCAAAGCTTTCACTCCCTTGATCAGGTATTCTGGAGGCAGGCAGTTATCTTCCCGGGACTCTGACGACAGACAATAGACAGTCGATTAGGAGGGACACCTGGGAACGCAGTGGCAGCACGCCAGTGATTTAAGTGCTCTGTATTGACATGCTGAGTTATTTAAGATGACGTACCTTTGAGAGTCTCCAGTAGATTCTTCGCTACATACCAACAAATGGCCTCAAAATAAGGAAACTTAAAGAGGTCTGGAGTCTTCAGTCGCCGCTCCATCTCATAGCACCTAACATGAGGACAGAATTAGTTACACTTGAGCCACAATATATTCACAACTCAGAAAATGATACACTTATTTGGAAAAATTTAAAAAACACTAGATAGCAAAAACGTTTCTTTGATAAGACAAATGTTCACTGTTTTGGTTTCCAAGGTTGGCTATATTATTACTACTTTCTTTTGTTTTACTTTTATTTTAGCTATTGCTGTTGTTTTTATCCTTATTATTGTTTATTTAGTTATAACTGATAAGTGGCCAATGCATACAAGATAACTATCAATATTTAAGTATTTAATTTTGTTGTGGTTGTTGTTATTAGTATTAATAATACAATTTGTACTTTTTCTTTCATTTTTTGCTTTGTAGCCGTTTTGTTGTAATTATTGTAATTTATTTTGTTATAACCAATACGTGGCCAGTATAGTTAAGTCATCAGTACTTAATACATTATTATTTTGTTGTTTTTAATAAAAATATTTCTGTCGCCATTTTATTATAATTAACAAATATATAATTAATAATTTTCTCCACTATATCTTCTGTCTAGAAAGAAAATGTCCCTATCAGAAGAAAATATAATTAATAAACATCCATTTCCATTTTTGATTTGTTGCTCCTTTATAATGATAACAACAACGTTTTCTCCACGTTTATTTTTGCTTTATTGCCGTTTTGTTATTATTTTTACTACTCTAATTACTCTTAATAGTATTACTACTACTATTATTATTATAAAGAATTCCCTAACAGCATAACATTATTATTATTATTATTATTATTATTAACACTTATTTTTTCCCATTTTATTTTTGCTTTGTTGCTCTGTTACTTTTATAATAATAATAATAATAATGTTATGCTGTTAGGGAATTCCTTAGGAGAAAAATAAGTATGAGGAAAGAAAACATGTATATCTGCTAAAATGTAATTGGTTAACCTTTAGAGAAGCACTCAAAGCTAACAGACTTATTAAAAGCCACAGCACTTAATTTCTAAATTTAATGAGATCTTAAAAAAATGAAAGTGCTCACTCACCTGAGCTGCATGCCTATGTTGAGGTTGTGGAGGAAGTTTCCTCCGAAAGCCATGCAATCCTGAGAGGTGAGAACCGCATGGATCCATCCTGCAAGAGAGGTCAAGAGTGTGTCAACAGCTGACCGACAGATGCAGACACATGCAGACATCTGGTCTGAACTGCAGCTGTCCCTTAGCAGACAGTGAGCCATTCATATCCGCTGTAAAGCAAAGCTGGACCCAGAGAGATTTTACAAAATCCACTGAAAGGTTTTGGACAATTCAGATTTCGAGTTCAAAGAAATGTCACTCTAACACCTCCAAACATGCTTGTTCAACTAACTGTATAAATGCACAGAACTTTAGACATAACGGCAACCAAAAGTTGACATGTGTTTGCTGGGTGGGTGATTCTACGGCTAACTGAGACCTGCTGAGCTGAATCAAACCCCCAGAGTGTTTCAAAACCACTGCAGAGCCCACCAAACAACCAGTCTGTCAACTACATCCCCGACTTCCTGTCTACACTCAAACAAATAGGCCACATGCGAAGGGTGGAATGCATAAATATACGTTAGATTCAGAGCAACTTTCATACCGTAGGTTTTGAAGGACTTTTGAAGTCTGTCTCACAGCGGGGGACGTGTAGGGTCTCACGGTCTTAAACCGGTCTGCTAGTGCCATCAACACAGCTGGGAACCAGATTCATTTAAGACCACGCATCCTGACCTGCTCATTTTGAGTGTGGGGGTTCATAAAACATTTACATTTATGATACCACCCACAAATATCCTATTATATAACCTCATATATGATATGAAGCCATGATGACGATATACTCTTGGATGAGTACTGTAACTCAAAAAGGCTTTTGAGCTTCACTAATTAACCATTGGCACCAGATTGGATAACACATTGCTAAGATTCATGTGGCTTTCTGGGTGGTAAGTGTTTCTGCTCATTCCGGTTACGTCTGAACCTGAAACGAAGAGCACAAATCAGCCCTGGCCTTCCTGTGGAACCACCATTATAGGCAGCTGCTCCACAATAAGTGGAATACCAGTTCTTCTACAGTTCCTCTTGCGCCAACATCCGTGTGTCAGTAAAAAGTCCTGAGATAAACACAATACTTCCTTTTCTCCTCCAAGGTGAAATGTGAAATTTTTGCATTACTAGCAAATAAAATAATGACTGTTTTTTAAGCAGGTTTTCACTTAAACAGTAGCCCCGCCCCAAACTCACACCATTGGTTAAGCCTGTTGCTATGCCAGGTTGGCTTGAAGTCAGCATGAAGCTGAAGTTGTAATCATATTTTCTTCCCTGTTGAGACATGTATAGAGTGGAACAGCTTCTTGAACAAGAAAAACGTAGGGTGTGACTTGATTTTGTCCATCGGAAATAGAATGGATCATTGTCATTTGCTTTTACAATCTCATCATAATACATAATACAAATATAATTTATTTTAAAACACGTCATTTGACAAGAATGCTATTTTTATCAGCATTTAATATCATCAATATATAATTAAATAATTATTTTTTAAATTAAATGTTTAAAATTAAATATTTATTATTAAAATAAAATAAAATAAAATAAAATAACGTACTAACCTGTCGGGATCAGAAGAGTTGTTCCCTGCCGCACGACACACTTATAGCACTTGTCCACTTTCTCCCCGAAGAACACTTCACTCTGACTTGGAGACGAGCTCCACTCCTCATATAGTGCAAGGTTGGCTGAGGTCGGCTTTATCAAGTAAAAAATCTTCTCCCCCTGGAGATAAGAGAGTTAAGAAGTCATTTATTATCCCCTATTTTCTAGTTGGTATCAAATAATTCAGCAAATGTTTTTTGAAACAAACAATAAGGTACAGTATCGTTCAAAAGTTTGGGGTCAGAGGATTTTTAAGGCTGCATTTATTTGATCAAATATACTGTAAAAAGTGTAATAATGTGCAAAATTATTACAATTTACAATAACTGGTTTCTATTTTGATATACATTTTAAAATGTAATTTATTCACGTGAAAGCAATGCTGAATTTTCAGCAGGCATTCCTTATTTTGAAAACAGCTGTGCAGCTTAATTTTGTGGAAACTAGGGCTGCACGATAAATCGCATGCGATATTTAACGCGCATCTTATCAGTAAAGCCGCTTCTGTAATAAGCGGTAAATCTCCATCACCTGCGGGCTTTCACATTGAGCAGCATTAACTACACAGAGCCGTTGTTCACTGACGAGCTGCGCAAAACCACGTTCATATTTGCGCAATTTTTTGCGCAGCTCATCAGTGAACAACGGCTCTGTGTAGTTAATGCTGCTCAATGTGAAAGCCTGCACGTGATGGAGATTTACCGCTGATTACAGAACCGGCTTTCTGACAAGATGCGAGTTAAATATCGCATGCGATTTATCGTGCAGCCCTAGTGGAAACCATTATACTTTTTTGTCAAGATTCTCTAATGAATAGAAAAAGTTCAAACGTTCATCATGTGAACTTACCCACAGGACATGGTACCACACAGATGTGCCCCCAAAATCAATATGGAAGTCGGTATAACTGTCCTTCATGCCCATTAAGCAGTACTTCTGCACAAAGGGCTTGGGAAAGTAAGAGTCATCAGGCCAGTAGTTCTCCACCCAAGACATCTTCTGAGCAATATCAGGAACCACCACCAGCTCTGACATCCTGAGCACAAGACATTAAAGTTATCATCTGCACCCAGAAAAAAAAAAAACGCCTTTCTGTTCAACATCACTTTCAAACAATACTAGCCTGGTGTCTGAAAACTCCAGACTGATGACGTTGAGGACTTTGGGCCGCTGAGGGCTGTAGTAATACTTCACAAATGCACTCAGTTTCATCTTGCTGTCTGCTTGCCTGGCCACATCGATGACATCAATCACTTTGTCGCCTCCTGTAAGCAAAAGGAGCAAGTTGAGTGATGTGTATGTGTGGGCATCAAAGGAACAGATACACAAAACAAATATCATTACCAAAAACAAACTCAACAGGGATAAATTGCAATGATCAACATCATTAAATGGCAATAAAGCATATTTTAAATGAAAGAAAGACTGCCTTTTGGCACTAAAAAGTTTCCCAGGGCCATCTTTCCTCAGAATGTTTCTTTACAAGACATTAGCTGATGTTTATAACTGTGAGAGACAACTGGCAGGAAGAACATCAAAACCCATCAGAAAGCTGCTGGGAAAAGCCTCAAACACAAAGCAGGACAGCTGGTGCTTGTGTACACAAACGGCACCCTAGTGTACCTAGCCAGAACCAGACTCATCCAACAAAGAAGACCATAAAGAGATCATTTATTGCTATTCTGGGATCAGGTACATCAACATGACTTGCAACACTGCCAATAAAAATCTCTACTGGATCCTTTATGGATTCAAATCCGCAGTGGTGCCTACAACAAATATGGGTTTGATTTAAAAATCCAAGCTCCAAGACTGTAATGTGTGTTTATACGTGCATAAATTAAAGTATTTATTCTATTAAGTACTCCTTTTATCCAGTAACAACAAACATTTTAATAGTTCTGGAGACATAAAATGTCTTTTATGATCTCAAAAGCACATTTCCAATGAAGCGTGGGACAAAAGTAGCTTTCACAAAAGCAGGTGGAGAGTGCGGTTTGTCATTATAAGAAAATGGCAATGTGGAAAAAAGCCACAATGTTCGATTTTGCTGGCTGGGGAGCCATGCAGGCAAGCTGCCCATTGAAGTAACTGAATTAGCCGGGCAGCTAGCCTGCAGTTAGCAGTCAGAAGTGCATTAAGGACGAAAGCTAGAGCTTTTAGTGCAAGCTCCAGACGTATCGTCACTGCAGTTAACTTTAACATTCATCAAGCAATTCAACTTATGTACAACATTTTTGTTTTTTTGGTGGGCATATCGTCAGACTCACTCATGCATCTCAGTAGCTCATTTTACCAGCAAATCAGCATGTTTTTACAGAAATTAGAGCGAAAATGTCCACAATTAGCATTTTTTTACTAACATTAGCAATGTGCTAAAGGTTTACAGAGAAAATGAGGGATTAAGAGGTTATGTTGGGTCACACAATACAAATCATATTATTTGGTAGGCATGGGCGATATGACAAAATCCTATATCACGATATTAGGGATGTTATAGGGATATTAGGCATATTAACCGTTTAACCGTAACCACTTAATACTACCAGTTTAAATGGTTTAAAAGGTATTTTTTTTAAAGGAGTCATATGATGCGATTTCAATTTTTCCTTTCTCTTTGAACTGTTACAAGCTCTTGGTGCATAAAGAAGATCTGTAAAGTTGCAAAGACTAAAGTCTCAAATCCAAAGAGATATTCTTTATAAAAATTAAGTGTCAACCGCGCCTACCTAAAACGGCACGTTCTAACATGTCTATGTCACGATGTGGGAAGATTTGCATAACGCCGCCCAAATGTTCACGCAAAGAAAGAAGGCGTAACTTTTATTCTCGCTGTAGTATTGCCGCCACCATGTCGTGAAGGCGCTGTGTGTTTCTTTGGGAAAGCGAAACTACTTTGTTTGGTCTTCCAAAAGAGGACGATATCGCTTTGTCATGCCTGGAGCTGATCCGTGCTGGTTGCTGAGGAAATACATCAACTTCGCGCTGTTGATAGCCGGATCGGCTTTCACCGTGGACGAAGCGGAGTCCAGCCCGGTGTCGTCACATGTGGTTGCCGCAAGCCCGCTGGACACTCCTTTGTCGAATCAATCGGCCACGCCGTTCTCAAGCCCACCGGCCTCTGCTCACTCTAGCCCTCCGGCCGTTCCTCACTCTAGCCCCCGGCCTCTGCTCACTTTAGCCCGCCGTGTGTGATGCTGTGTTTCGTTGTGAAAGCAAAATTACTTTGTTTGGCCTTCCAAAAGAGGACACGACTAGAAATCAGTGGTTAAGTTGTATTTACAACACTGTTCCAGAACACTTCAACCAAAATATTCAGATGTGTGCAGCACACTTTATGGAGGACTGTTTACTGATCCTGGGAGAGTAGACTACAATGCCGGATGTTCTGACTCACAGACTGTAAGTAAGTTTTTTATATTTAAAGAATTTGCCACTGATGATTCAAACACGAGTTTTGAGCAGTGTAGAGTAGGGCTTGTTGTTTGTCATTTCTCCGATCACAAATGCAGACATGGTTTTGTGTTTACGCGGCACGATGCAACAACGCGTAAAAAGACAGAATAAGTCATTATAATCCATAATTATGTCCCCACTGGATGCAACAAATGCATCGTTTATAATGGGTTTTCATGTTTTTGAATCGTCGCTCCGGCCTGACAGGGCATCATCACAGTATGGTGAGGGGCGTAACATTTCCGTCACACGCTTGAGGTATTCGGCCAATCATAACACACTGGATAGCTGGCCAATCACAGCACACCTTGCTTCTCAGACCGATGAGCTTTGTAAAAATCGACGCGTTTCAGAAAGGCGGGGCATAGAGGAGAAACAATAATGTACAGATTGTGGAAAATGTGTTTTTTTAACCTTAAACTGCATAAACACATTTCATTACACCAAATACACAAAATAATGTTCTTTTTAACAACATCATATGACCCCTTTAAGTAGCGTGTAAACGCAAAATCGAAAGTGAAAGTGAACATCGAGTGCGCATTCAAAAGCGATTTCAATACCTGCATATTGATAGCGCAAAAATTATAAAAAAAATATAACAATGTTTGCGGGAGCGGCCACAAAAATCGCGAGAGTGGAACACACACGTTGCAGGAGCAGGCGGTAATGGTCAGAAATTCAGCGGGAGCGGTATTATGAAACAGTTCCGCACAGAGCTCTACTCCTGACTATCGCACAGCACGTCAACATTTTAGGCTACTTTTTAAAAAAAAATAAAACCTAGACACATTGTGCACTGAGGTAGGCCTGCTATTTATTTTTATGTCTGACAAAAAAAAGACAAAAGGATTTTTGTAGGAGTTTTATCATCTTAATTTTAATTATTAATTGAAAAATATTGAATGTAGGCCTATTTATTTTATTCTTTTTATTTGTTATTTTATTCTATTATTCTCTGTTCTCAGAAGCGCTGCAGGTGTGTGATAATTTGACGATGTGTGAATCCAGGTTCTGTTGCTCTGTTGTTCTGTATGCTGCTGCTGCACGTTAAAATAAACCCGTGAAAATTTTTTTTTGTATTTTAATGGGTCACAGACACTCATCCGTTCTATTTTTATTTAATACTAATTTATTATTCTAATCTTATCAGTTAACGGTTAATGTTCGAATAACAAGTAATGGTTGTCGGTCGGGAAAATGAACCGAAATGAACATCCCTACACGATACGAGTAATTTTATTTCACAGTAATGTTATATGTATCATGATATAGCTATTTTTGCTTTAAATAAGGTCATTATGATAACAAAATGATTGATATCATAGAAATTTCATAATTCTTGTCACCAGTGTAAATATCACCAAAGAATTAATAAATTCTAATGAAGCCTAAATTAAAAAACAAAACTCAAGCTCACTGAAGACAAGTAAATAGTCAGTGATTAAATAAGAATAAGAAACTAAACTAAGAAAAGTACAAAAAAACTACAGTAGAACAAAAAAATAAGACATGCTACATACATTGTATAAAGTAATCAAATGTCTAAAAACACTGCATATTCTTCATATTTTTTTGTCTGATTAACAAGAATGACAGACAGCAGGAATATTAGACTGCTGTCACTTTAAGAGTGGCCTCCAATATACTGTTACACGTGTTTTCTTAGCTGTTTGCTTTCACTTAAGACCTACTATGTTTATGAGGATACTTGCAAAAGACAGACATTTTGACACAAGGGTGTGTGTATTTAACCGTTCAAGACTTATAAAGCGACAAAAATAACATTCAATACTATCGCGCTCTATGAGCACCGTCTTCACATGCGCGCACCTCTCTGACAGCGCTCAGAAACAGTCTCTCAGACAGTGTGCATATAGCAAAATAAGTTATCTTTCACTGTTGATTGCATTTCAAAGGCTTAAAATCACTTGTTTTTAAAACCGCAATGCTTGGAAATGCATGTCAACGATAAGTTTTCATGACCACGTAGCACAGCAATGTCACGTGAGCGTATAACCGCGACAGAGACGATAGTCCAAAATCCCTACCAGTTAATCGTGTCGGTATGAACTTGAGGGAAACAAGGCTAACTTTTGAAAATCAGTGAAAAAAACACTAAGCAGGCAGCTAGCTTAAATGGCTAAATACATTAGTAGTGGCCTGAAAAGTGTCACATGGTCACCAGAAGGTGTGGCAATAGCAAACCTTTTGTCACCTCACTGTAAGTGCAATATAATCACACTTCATTCCCAGTGGGCTGCAGGCTCCCCCTCAGGACCCAAATGGAGCAGCTGATCGCCGCGTGTATCATGATAACAATACATTATACACTCAAATGTGAGAGGTAGAGGAGTGAACTGTAACCTAAACTTTACGGACAAAGCTCAGTGGGGAAGATATAGCGGCTATGTAAGCGGACACTGTAAGGACCAGACTCTCAATGGGATGAGGCCTGCTAGGCTGTTGTAAGGAACACCACTTTTATCTGCACTCTTATTTCATTACGGGTTGATTAATGTTTGCTAAAAGGTTAGACCCATCTGACTCACCTAAGATTAATGTCTTATCTCTGCAGTGGCTGGACTGTAATGCAACTCTTAATGGAATTAATAAACTTAACTCTAAGACAACTCTTAATGGAATTAATATTTAAACCCATGAAGCACTGCTGCTCAATGGCTATAATGTAGAGCACAATGGGTAAAGGTGAAGAAGCGGGGTGAAAAGGATGATCCACTCTCCCTCCTTACCGACATAGCGCTCAACATCCTTGACGGAGAAATCTGGCGGAGGTAAACGAAGGCCGAGCCCTTCCATTTTGTGTACAGCGATGGGATAGCGGAAACCATGCCTTTCCAGATATCTCTGGGTGACCTGACTGCCATGCATTTGCTGCAAGATCTCATCTCCACTGCAGATTAAAACACAGGAGAATTACTGATTAGAGAGCAGATTTGAACAACAAGAAGTATGAACTACTCAGACAAGAATTGTTTATTCTCTACATTATTTTCTGTTATTTTGCATTCTCTGTGAAGCTTCAAAGAGCTAACATTTTGTTTAACTGAAGACCTGACTCTACACTAAACAGAGATTTCTAGAAAATGCCACAATAAACACTGGTTTTCAGAGAATATAAGCTGTGCCCATATGCATCGTGTGGCATCAAGCGCTGGAGTGCTTTGTCATGATGGTGTTGGTTTCCCACAGCTGGCACACGTACCTGGGGAAGGTCCTGGCCTGCAGCTCCCGCACAAACACAGAGGTGCCAGCCTGCACTGGCTTACTGCCATCATCTGGCTCCGTGTAGTCGTGTCTGTGCCAGTTTCTTCGCTTCTTCACTGTAAAATCAGGCAGAAAGAATTCAATACGTCTGGCCTCAGAACAATACCGCAGTTATTACTAGACAACCACAAGTCCATAACATCTGTTGCACACCACTGCTTGTTGATCACAACAGTTCAGCTGACTAGACATACTGTGAAACCTCTTAAACCAGTTCCTGCCTCCATCTGATAATTAGTCTGATAAATAGAATTCCTGACAGGGCACAGAAAAGTCTGCAGAACTTCATATAAATATAGTGGTAAGGGTGAATCAATAGATTCTAATAGTACAAAAAGTGGATACATACTCAGAGAGGGTCCATGGTGGACGTCACAGTTGGGACAGTGGTAAACGTCAATGTCCACAGCATGGTGCTCTTCTACCTCAACACAGCTGCAAGAAAATAAAAATGTAAATTAATTAATGATTTGTATGCATTAAATAGTTTTCTGAGGATACTGTATGTGCGATGACAAATTAATCCTTTATATAATTATATAAAAGTTACATTTGAAAACAATGCATCGTTCAAACGTTTGGGGTTGCCAAGTTTTTTAATGTGTTTGACTTTTAAATAGTTTCTTATGCTCTCCCAGGCTTTGTTAATTTGATCAAAAATACATGAAAAACTGTAATATTGTGAAATATTGCAATTTAAAATAATTGTTTTCCATTTAAAAATATTTTAAAATGTAATTTGTTCCTGTGATGCAAAGTTGAATTTTCAGCATCATTACTCCAGTCTTCAGTGTCCATGATCCTACAGAATTCATTCTAATATGCTGATTTGCTACTCAAGAAACATTTCTCATTATGATCAATGTTAAAAACAGTTCAATCACAACAACTCTTGGAAGATTTTAGCATGGATAATGGATATGACAATGTTAATGTATTTGGTCTAGGCGGAATAGATCTGCTACGCTGCTGCTGCTGGATTGCGGCTGCTGTTGGTTATTGCTGTAGTTGGCGATAATGTGCTGTGAGTATTTAAGACATACTGCTGCTGCACAAATAGCATATAAAATAAACCGTAGCAGATCTATACAGGTGGAGCGTTTCAGAAAAACTCTGAAGGTGCGCTGCAAAATGCTTGAATGGATGCGAACTAGCCATTTAAATGTAAAGCAGTAAGTTGCGTATGCAACATGAACCAATCAACTTGTGCCAAGTCGTTTAATGCTGTGAATATAATCAGCTACATTAAGAACCCGTCAGCCTGCGCCATCTAGACTTTCATGAAAGAACTCTGCATTTGTGCTGCTTGATATTTTTGTGGAAAGTGAGATACTTTTTTCCTGGATTCTTTGAACAACATTTATTTATATTAAATAGAAATCTTTTGTAACAATATAAATATATTTACGTTTTTTAAAAATCTATTTAATGCATCCTTTCTGAATCTTGACCCCAAACTTTTAAATGGTAGTTTATATTGTGCTTCTTCACTCAAATAAAACTAAACATGACATTGTTAGACTACATTGTACTTAAAGTCAGTGCTAAACATAAGTTGCTAAATGTTCAACAAACAATTCGACAGTGGCTTGCACTTGCTGAAGGAGCGTATTAAAACATTTCCCCACATCTGAAGTGTTCAGTAGCTTTGCCAACAAACATCTTATCGCTCAAGACCCGTTTGCCCCACTTCTTCATTTTCCCACTTCCAGCCGCACTCTCCAATTAACTTAAAGGCATGTTGTTTCACAGAAAGTCATATGACGAGCTAGCTCTTGGCATTGTGTGGAGACTCATTAGCCAGGTAGGTAATGAGGCCTTGCACACTTCTCTGGCTCAGGTTTTGCTCTGTGTTGCCAAAGAAAGCAATTTCGTTAACTCCTTGGTTTAAGTGTTACATTACCCAGAGTGAAGTGCTCCAAACAATGAGGGATTCACATGGAGAATGCTTGACTAGCTGGAAGTAGCCTGAAGTAGTCTGACACTGCAATATAACAAACAATATGCAGGACATGCAACGTGGATTTTTGAACAAACTTTGTAGCCTCGATTAGCATATATAGCACACATTAAAACATTCCAAAACATGCTTGAAATGTAATCCTGCCAGAGATTGAGCAGATTCTGCAGGAGTAACTCCAGACTGGGTCATCTACGGTCGATTATGTTTAACCCCAGACAGGCCTGGCTAAACAAGAGCTCCAGATGTGAGGTTACATTTGGTTGGGCTCCAGGGCACGAGACATGAGGTGGAGGGGGAAGGGAGTGTGTTTGTGTTGGAAACAAGTGTGGGAAACAGCAGCATTGAGGGGCAATGGTGTGTCCACATCAAAAGATGTAAATTAACCTTCCTACTGGAAAAATTTGGGGTTTTGTGTTTTTTTTTTCAATGCCACAAGAACAAGAGGTATTACATAGCCACATTATTAACAAAACAAACAAAAAAAAAAGTTACATAAATTTCAGTCATTTTAAGCTTGCTGCAAAAGGTTTAGGCATAAAGTCAAAGGATTGTGAGACTGCTGCAGAATCTTGACTTTCTTTCTTGCAATTCTGAGTTCACCTCTCACAATTAATTTTTTTTCTGCCACTGATAAAAAAAAAAATTATTTGTGACTTTTACGTCATAATTCAGTTTTTCTCTTGCATTTGCAATATATAAAAATATTTTTTATATATCCCAATTTAGACTCCACAAGTTTATCTTGCAATTGTGAGTTATAATTATCAGAACTGTGAGATAATTACTTTATCCAATGGCGGAAACAAGCTGCCAAATACTTATGTATATGGTACTTTTCTAATTAATAAATAATTGCATATTGTTCTTTACATTCCAAAATGTCATTCTGAAAAACAAAATCACATAAAAATACACAAATTTCTATCATACACCCCAATTTTCTGATAATTTTTACTTAACTTTTTGCACTTTTGTAGTTGTAAGTTTTCATCCAAAAAAATAAATAAATAAAAATCTCAAATCCCATTCACACAAGTCACCAACATCACCAAGTTCAGTTACATGCAGTACCAATGGTTTTTGGTTTCACTGAACTGGATTCATGCTAACCAGCTTGGTTTGGAGTGGCATAAGGGTGAGAAAAACCTTTGCATTATCCAAAAATGAACTAGTCAATTGTTTTATATAGAGAAAATGACGCACCAATTGGAAGCAAGTGCACCATATCAACATTTATGTACATTTTTGTCTTCCTCAAAGGAGCCAGAACAATCTGATCTAGCTGCCACTGCAAATGCTGGCCAAGAACTTTCCCTCCTTCTGTTTCCTTCAGACTTTCACTTGTGATTGTGATGAGACGACCAAAAAAGACATGCAGGAAGTGACTCAGACATCATTACATCACAGCGCCTCAGTTCTTGACATACTGTAGGACGAAACATCGGCTTTCTCCTCAAATCTGGGAGAAAGGTCTACTCCTACTCTATCTGAGTAATCTGTGGCAAGGAACACTGTGTCACTAAAAACAGATCTGACTCAAGAGTTTTTGAGCCACGATAACAGATGCTGAAACATTCTGTTGCCAAAAGCAAGATGGGTGAAAAGAACAGCACTGGGTGGGAGAGAAAAGACTGCTTGAGTCCTGAATCTGAATGAGTTCAGGCCTCAAGAGAGCTGACATCACGAGGGATTGGTGGGTTGCTAGAGTAACAAAAAGATTCAGGCAGAAAGAGAGAATGATGCAACAAGCACAGAAAATATGAAGTCCAATATAATTGGCAAGTTTCTGCTGTGGAGAGTAAAAATTATGAAATAATGGTGATGAAATAATCGAGTGTTGTACTCAAATAACTGACTACTTAAAGGGATAGTTCACCTTCTGTTGCTGGTCCTCATTGACTTCCATAGTGTGGGAAAAAAAAACACACTATGCAAATCAATGTGGATCAGCAACTGAAGGTGAACTATTCCTTTAATACAAGTATTTCGAATAGGGATGCACCGATACTGAGCTCCTGTACTCGTACTCGTTAAAATGCCCTGATACCAAACGACGATACCACACAGCATGTGATAAGCGCCATATTCAAACAAAGAAACACTGACAACAGAACAACAGACAGCAGAAAGGAGTTAAGGGTGTCTACTACGAAGTATATGTATGCAATGAATATAATGTTAAACATTCAGTATTAACGCCTGTATAGCTGATGTGTGCGAGCTGATAAACAAAGCACGCTGAGTGGATTGAGCGCGCAGCGGCGCAGATGCACAAGCTTGTCGTGTGAATATACCCTTCTCACAGACATCACTGGAAAGTTTGTAGTTCAGTCGGATGTGTCAAAAACAGGTAAGTAAAACAATGCACAAGTTACTTAAGGTAGGGAGGGAGAGAGAGAGAGCGCGTGCACTTCTGTTGTGTGATCTTTGATGTTCACTCACTTAGCACGCATCATTTGGATTAAAACTAAATCGTACAAATAAAACCATTCATAGGGGCATTCACTATAAACAATTTATTTTCAACCTTAAGCATACACGACTTTCTGGCAAAAGTGAATCTAGCAGCCTGTGTGAAATGCGCTAGGCTGTACTACTGTCCTCTCATTCTGCACCAGTACAAATACCTGCACACGTTGCGCGTGTTTTGCTTGCTTCATGAGTGTTTCTGTATTATATGAGTGGCTTGGGAATATAAAACGCACCACATTTCAGATGAAAAAACGTGACTTCTATTTCTGAAAATATCAGTTAGGAGATTTATAACGAGTGGTTCCCTGCATTATTACAGCAAAGCGCGTGATTAAAGTACTAAGCCGCTGCAATGGAGCAGCTCTAATGCTATTAAATTAAATATGATGTATCATAGAGCAATAAAATGAACAGTGAAAGTAACAAAAACTTGTAAAATACATTTTAATGGGCATAATTAAGTGTGAAAATAACCTAAGGATATTAAGTGAAACCAAAAATGATTCAGAGACCAGATATAATTTTTGATATTTTTTTTACTAGTGGGTGCAGGACACTATAGTTCATTTATGTAAGTGAGGATAGCAAAATAAAGTAAACTGTGACCAATTATACCCAAATATTCTTCATACAGTTGACTACCAGTAAAATTTATACAAATTTGGGTCCAAAAATTATTCAGACCGAGTCTGGGAAAAAAAACTAAAGTTGAGGTTTTCATGAAGCTGGGTGACAGCATGCCCAGGAGACTACAGGCTGTCATTGAGGCTAAGGGTTGCCCGACTAAGTATTCATAGTTGTGTAAATACTGTCATACTAACAGCTGTCTGAATTATTTTGGTTGATTGTAATCTATTACATACCTTTCCATCACAATTATCTAACATTATCAAGATGAATTTGTTCTGACACAGTGTAACTCTGAGTTCTTGTCATATTTTATTACCATGTTCTAAACTATAGTGAATAAACTGTGATAATGTGAGAAATGTTGAAGGTG